AGATTTGGAGATTGAATCTTCCCAACGTAGGACTTTTCTTGTAGAGTGTTATGAAGCTTGAATCTCAAGAAGTATGTTCAGGAATAGATCAAGAGCTCGTGGCAAAGTTGTTTTTCTGTTCTTCGGTGTGTAGCTTATATACTGAGGTTGTCTGCCCGTTGGAGGAGGAGACAACTGCATTAAATGCGCGTACAGTTGACTTGACCGCCGTTTTGGAAGGTTTCTATATTTATAATATATCTTCCCGGATTCCTTGGTCAATCATTTGCAATCAATCCTTCAGCGTATCAGGCTCATTTAATGTGCATTAAATGCTTTCCTTTCATGCACAGTCTTCCAGCCGTTGGATGTTTTTACCCGTTGGATTCATAGCTGTTGGATGTTGCTTGAAATCTTCTAAGTGTTAGTCGGGCTCTGATCAGGCTCTTCTGATGTGTTGGATTCTGATGGCTTACTGAAGAGTTGAGTTCTGAAGGCTTTCTGATCTCTGACTGAACTCTAACTCTGACTCTGATAGGTCCGCTGATGAGTGCCTCTGATCTGTAACTCTCATTGGCTACCAGATGTCCAAGCTTATCAGCAATTCTCATGGTGCAACTCTGATGGAGCAGTTCTCACAGAGCAAGTCTGGTCGAGCAGTTCTGATGCACTTCTGATTTGATCCAAAACAGAGCAACTCTGATCGTCGACTACACTAATACTTACAATTGAAAATTCTAATACATAAAATCTAATTGGGGGTGATCTAACTTTCTAATCCTATAGCATCATCAAAATCTAATTACATTTATTCCTTACAGATAGCCCCCGTATCCCGATAGCTATTCGGACGGGTCTGGCTAGCTCGCTCCCAGGATAATCCTACCACGTTTCAGACTCGTAGCTACCTTGACTGAAACCTTCGACCGTTGCCCAATATGCCGTTGACTCGTTAAATAGATATAACTTTATGAAGAAACTATGGATTCAAAAGCTCTCATCCCAGATCGAAGTATTACTTACTCGTAGAAAAACTTTTTTCTTAATTTGGAGAAGTAGTCCCGTATTCCAAAATACCATCTCCTTATATTACTTATACATGCATGTACGTTATCAAAATAAAAGTGATGGGAAGAGAAGCATTAAAATGCAAACGGTCCTATCATTGTGCATTTACATGCATACGTTATACATGGAGGAAAGAGAGCTCGTGGGTTATCAATTTTTAAACCGGAAATCAGATTAATACATAATACATGTACTAAAGGAACTTGCTGATCCCACACGTGTGCAGCCACCAGCCCACTCATCCTATAGATTAGGATCACCCAACAATTTTGATCAGGCTGACAACACACGTTCAAATTTCAATTTTGAAATTTCCGAAATCGGCTGGCTTGCACGTTTTTATTACTTTGGAATAAAACGGCTGAACATTAAATCCTAATAACTTAATGGCCCCAAAACTTAAGATATCAATCGAACGATCTTAATCTTTACTCATTCCGTATAGTCCGAATGAATTAATAAGTTCGTATAAGATAATATCTTAAGTCTCATATATGATACATGAATAATATATATTCCTCATCATATAACGTTTAGTGACCATATTTGAAAATTAGGACATAAACAAATTTATTTATTATATCAATACATCACTTCTACAACATTTACAACTATGGATTATGATTATTAAAAGAGACAAATCCAATAGAGAAATTGTACTTTGATTGTACTTTGATGTATAATAAGCCACTTCCTCTCCGTATTATATATTTTCATACACACACACATATATATGTATCATGGGGCTCATAAAAGAGACCATAAAAATAATTTTATATCATCATATTTCCAACAATCCCCCACAAATCCATAGTTGTAGACTCAACTCTAGAAGACATAGTGTGCTTTCAAATATGGTACCTTCCGGTTTGAACCAAATTCTAAGCTCTTACCCCTAACCCCCACAGGAACTGAGTGAACAGAGTTCTTGAACTCGAACCTTGATTGTGTTGGCGCGGGATAAAAGCAACACACTAACGGCGATGGCAACGATCTATAGGGGTGACGCTTTACGGCCGTGCGTCCGATCCTGTCTCAAGAATGTCATCGAGAATAAACTCACATTCTCTTATTGCGGCCACACAATAACATTCTCATAGTTGGGCATCTCCAAGAGTGCATTGCTGACACTCTGCTATTAAAGCTTGATCCCATTCAGAGTCTTAAACTCTTACTAAATTGGCAATTTTAGCATCTCTAAGGCTTATCAAGGAATAGAACTCATAAAACAATTATTTTCATGAGATGCTCAATTCACTCTACGGTTTGTTTATACCTCATTGAACCTACTTTATGGGATCTCCACTCAGATAGGTTGGGTTGCTACCGTAGATGAATAATTATTGGGTTTCAGTCCCATTCCTAACCTTGATTTTATCACTTGATTTAAATCAAGTCCTTTTGTTAAAGGGTCTGCTGTATTATCTTTGGATCCAACAAAATCAACAGCAAACACCCCTTGAGACACAAACTTCCTTATAGTTTTTAATCTAACTTGAATGTGTCTCCTAGTCTTTTGATTGTACTTGGTACTCCTAATTTTTGCAATTGTACTCATACTATCACAATGCAAACAAATAGGTGGAATTGGCTTGCTGAAAATAGGTAACTCGGACATTAGCCCCTTAAACCATTCAGCCATAATTCCTGTAGTATCCAAGGCACTTAATTCAGCCTCAAAAGTAGACCGAGAGAGTACAGTTTGTTTAGTGGACTTCCAAGCAACAGCCCCACCACCAAACGTAAACACATAGCCGGTACACCCATAACTCCCAGAGTTTTTAGCTATCCAGCTTGCATCACTATATCCTTCAAGAACAGGAGGATATTTACCATAATGCAAACCCAAGGAAATAGTTCCTTTCAAGTATCTGAATACTCTATCTAAAGCCTACCAATGAGTTCTGTTTGGACAGCATGTGTACCGACTAAGTTTAGACACTGAAAATGCAATATCAGGTCTAGTACAGTTAGCTAAGTAACCCAAGCTACCAATCATCTGAGAATATTTTAATTGAGACACAGGAACACCACTTTCATTTTTATACAAAGCTACAGAAGGATCATAGGGTGTTTTGGCAATTCTACTATTTTTAAATCCAAATTTCTCAATTAATTTTTCAATATAATGAGACTGAGAAATAGAAATGCCTTTGGTTGATCTAGTCAACTTTAGCCTAAGAATTACTTCCGCCACCCCCATATCCTTCATTTCAAACTTTGTTTTCAAAAATGACTTAGTCTCAAAAATAATATTATCATTAGTGCCAAATAATAATATATCATCAACATATAGGCATAAAATAATACTTATATCACCTTTACATTTATAATAAACACTTTGATCAGCATCTATAAGAGTAAATCCAAACGAAGAAATTATTTTATCAAATTTTTCGTTCCATTGCTTAGGGGCTTGCTTAAGTCCATATAAAGACTTAACTAATTTACAAACTTTTCTCTCATTGCCTTTTGCCACAAATCCCTCAGGCTGATCCATATAAATTTCTTCTTCAAGGTCACCATGAAGAAAAGCTGTCTTAACATCCATTTGATGAATTTTAAGACCATATACGGAGGCCAATGCTATAAGCATTCTTATTGTGGTCATTCTTGCAACTGGAGCATATGTATCGAAAAAATCAATACCTTCTTTTTGTTTATAACCCTTAGCAACTAATCTGGACTTATATTTATCAATGGTTCCATCTGGTTTTAGCTTCTTTTTAAAAATCCATTTACATCCAATAGTAGTACACCCGGGAGGAAGATCAACAAGCTCCCATGTTCCATTTTGAACAATGGAGTCCATTTCACTTTTAATGGCATCCTTCCAATACATGGCCTCAGACGTGGCCATTGCATCTCTAAAGGAAATTGGATCACCCTCAATATTGTAAGTGATAAAATCACTTCCAAAATCCTTAGTGATTCTAGCTCGTTTGCTCCTTCTCGGTTCATCTAGACCATTTGATTCAAAATCAATATGACTAGAACTACCAGATTCTACCCCCACATTTGTCATCTTTTCCACTTGATCAGGAATTGAATTAAATGTAGTTTCTTGATTTTCAAAAGAAGTATTTTGGGGCACACCCGTTTTCATTGGAAAAACATCTTCAAAGAAAGTAGCATCACGAAATTCTACAATAGTATTGACATCTATGCCAGAAATTTCAGATTTAATAACCAAAAATCTCATTGCATAAGAATGTTCAACATAACCAATAAAAATAGCATCAACAGTTTTAGGCCCAAGTTTCTTTCTTTTATGTTCAGGGACTAATACTTTTGCAAGACAGCCCCACACCTTAAAATATTTCAAACTTGGTTTTCTGCCTGTCAAGAGTTCAAATGGACACTTATCTTTATGCTTCATGGGAATCCTATTCAAAATATGGCATGCCGTATTCAAGGCTTCCCCCCACATAAATTTAGGTAATCCACAATTCTCTAATAAACTATTAATCATATCTTTAAAAGTTCTATTTTTCCGTTCAGCTACTCCATTTGATTGTGGTGAATAAGGAGGTGTTTCCTCATGTACTATACCATATTTTTGGCATTCCAGTACAACTAAATTAGAAGTATACTCTCCTCCCCTATCAGACCTTAACCTCTTAATTTTCTTGCCAGTTTGATTCTCTATTTCATTCTTAAAAATTAAGAATTTTTCAAGAGCTTCATCTTTACCCTTAAGTAGATACACATAACAGTATTTAGAATAATCGTCAATAAAAGTGATAAAGTATTTTTTCTTATCACGTGTAAGCACTCCATTAAACTCACAAATGTCGGTATGAACTAAATCAAGTAATTCTGAATTTCTATCAATTGAATGATATGGTTTTCTTACTTGTTTAGTAGTAGCACATACCATACATTTCTTAGTTTTATCAATAGAGTGATTAGAAATTAAATTTAAATTCATCATTCTTTTCACAGAATCTAAATTAACGTGACCCAAACGATAATGCCATAAAGTTGAAGAATCACAATTCGAGATACATAATTTAATTCTAAATAATCAACCATAACTTTAAAAAGTCCATCAGACAAGTAACCTTTGCCAATAAAAATTCCACCAAATAAAATTACAACTTTATTTAATTTAAAAGACAACTCATAACCCTCCCTAACTAGAATGGAACCACTAACGATGTTCCTTCTAATTTCGGGAACGTGATGCACTCCATGCAAAGATAGAATTTTTCCCGAAGGGAATTTTATTTCTACTTTTCCAATTCCTTGCACACTTGCAGCACTCGTGTTCCCCATCATCACTGTTCTCCCAACCGCAGGCTGATAAGAAACAAAGAGCGATTTGTCAGCACATACATGCACATTCGCTCCTGTATCTATTAGCCACTCATTGGAATTATAAATAGTGAAAATTTGAGGATTAATAGAAACGTACCCATTAGAACTAGTCCCTCCAGTCACCATGTTGACTTGAGGTCCCCCAGATTGAGCCTTTGCCTTTTTATTTGGACATAATTTGGCCCAATGCCCCATCTGTCCACAGTTCCAGCATGGTCGGTTTGCCTTTGGTTTCTTTGCAATTTTTAATTTGGCCTTTATTGGTTTAAAAGATGATGGTTGCTTATTTTTAGAGTTATGTGCTTGCTTTCCCCCAGTTATAACATGAGCCTTCGGTTGAAATTCAACAGGCGCAATATAACCCGCTTTCTTATGTTCCTCCTCAACCGTAATGGAATGCATCAAAGATTTCCAAGTGATCTTTTTCATTTTATGTTTTAAAGTCGTACCAAAATCTTCCCATGATTTGGGAAATTTTTCTATGACCGCCATCACTTTAAATTTTTCAGGCAATTCCATGTCCGCTTCACGAAGAGAATGTAAGATAAGCTCAAATTCTTGTGTCTGTTCTAAAACCGATTTTCCTTCTTTCATGTCAAATCGTAGGAATTTAGAAACAATATATTTTTCAAGACCGTGGTCATCAGTATTATATTTTCTATCTAACTCATCCCAAAGGTCTTTGGCCGTCCCATGGAGGGTACAATAGACATCAAATAACATGTCGGATAAACCCATGAGAATCATGCCTTTTGCAATTTCGTCCCTCTCAAGCCAAAGTCCATGACGTTCAAGACTTTTGGGATCAGATTCGACAACCGGAGGACACACCGTCATAATCACTGAAAGCAAGCCCTTGGTGATTAACCAAATTTTCATGCGTTGTTGCCAACGCTTGAAAAAATGCCCAGAAAATTTTTCGGGCATCCCGGTTAAATCCACCCTGTGCGAGCCCGTAGCAATATATTCGGGTGTGCCTTGTGAATTAGTGACAGACACAGAATTATCATTTTCAGGGGCGACAAAAACATGCTCTAAACCAACAGTTTCATTGTTAACAGCATTTTCCAAGTTCGCCATTTTTGGATTTTCAAAAACTCGAGAAATAATATCTTTCTTCAAGATTGTTAGAAAAATGATATTAAAATGCGAGTTTAACCAGATAAAAATCCCGAGTTTACACAAATCACCAGACAAACCAACAAATGCAAGAACAAATAAAAAATAATAATAATTAGAATAATAAAATTGAATAAAGAGAAAAGATAAGAAAAACTTATCGCAGGATCGCCCGTTGAGACGGACTGGCCTTGAAGAAAGATAGCCCCCGTATCCCGATAGCTATTCGGACGGGTCTGGCTAGCTCGCTCCCAGGATAATCCTACCACGTTTCAGACTCGTAGCTACCTTGACTGAAACCTTCGACCGTTGCCCAATATGCCGTTGACTCGTTAAATAGATATAACTTTATGAAGAAACTATGGATTCAAAAGCTCTCATCCCAGATCGAAGTATTACTTACTCGTAGAAAAACTTTTTTCTTAATTTGGAGAAGTAGTCCCGTATTCCAAAATACCATCTCCTTATATTACTTATACATGCATGTACGTTATCAAAATAAAAGTGATGGGAAGAGAAGCATTAAAATGCAAACGGTCCTATCATTGTGCATTTACATGCATACGTTATACATGGAGGAAAGAGAGCTCGTGGGTTATCAATTTTTAAACCGGAAATCAGATTAATACATAATACATGTACTAAAGGAACTTGCTGATCCCACACGTGTGCAGCCACCAGCCCACTCATCCTATAGATTAGGATCACCCAACAATTTTGATCAGGCTGACAACACACGTTCAAATTTCAATTTTGAAATTTCCGAAATCGGCTGGCTTGCACGTTTTTATTACTTTGGAATAAAACGGCTGAACATTAAATCCTAATAACTTAATGGCCCCAAAACTTAAGATATCAATCGAACGATCTTAATCTTTACTCATTCCGTATAGTCCGAATGAATTAATAAGTTCGTATAAGATAATATCTTAAGTCTCATATATGATACATGAATAATATATATTCCTCATCATATAACGTTTAGTGACCATATTTGAAAATTAGGACATAAACAAATTTATTTATTATATCAATACATCACTTCTACAACATTTACAACTATGGATTATGATTATTAAAAGAGACAAATCCAATAGAGAAATTGTACTTTGATTGTACTTTGATGTATAATAAGCCACTTCCAATGGTCAAGACTTTGGTCAAGGTGGATTTGGAACTGATTCCTTGCTCAAATATGGGTGTTAAACAGCCTCTTCAAAGCGCTAGCTCAACCCCTAACGTTGGTACGAAAACAGCCCCTAGAATGGGTGTTTTCCGGTGAACACGTTTCCTAGTTTTTCCATGATTTGCTCTCGGTTAGTACATAACCTTTACATCAATAAACTAAATCTATAAGGACATATTATACACTTGGATTGGTGTAAAATAGCTCCATCAATCGTTCATATCATTTGGAAAAAGAAAGGAAAGGTTTTGAGGTTAACAACTCACTTTAGAAGAGTAGATCCGTTTCTGCGAGGTTGTGTTTTGCTCGGACGATTTGGAAGCCTTCCACTACTCCGATTGATGCAAACCAGACCTTCACGGATTCCTCGTCTTGAGAGCTTTCTTTTGGTATCTCACAATCCTTAATTGGATTGGTATAGCTCGAGATATCCACCCAACAGTCTCAGCACTCTCACAGCTCGAGTTTACAGACCACCGATTTTTTGTATGATAACTCTATCCTCTCGAACAGAGACCACTCAAATATGAAAATAGACTTCAAAGGCTATCCAAGGACACCTCATTCACCTTATTTGGTCAAGTATATCTCCCATAATGAGTGGAGACAAACAGCACACCAATTTGTGCGAAAACTGCTCATGGTGGCCCTAAGTTGATGCTAATCATGTCTTGTGAAGCTTCTCTCCAAGCTGGCCGGCCAAGGTAAGTCCTTTCACCCATTTTTATTTGTCTTTCAGGTACTAATACCATGTGTAGTGATTCCCAATTGATTCCAATCATTTTGGGATCCAAATTATCTACCAATACTTCCAAAAATGGGAAGATGGGTCCTATTGTTTTATCTTTTGTCAAAGATGTCTTTTTGTACTCATCCTAATTTATTTAGAACAAGTCAACTTCCTACATCACATTATTGATCTCCAATATGTGTAGGTTTGTCACAATAATTTACTTAATGGATATTATAGAAGAAAAATCATACTCCCATTATTTAGCTCAATAATGTTAAAGATGGGACTATAGGCATCTGTATTCTTCTCTAAACGTCCTATCACTTATTTACGATAATGTTGGGCTCTTTTATTTACTAATAAGCCCCAAATAGTATTTGTATGTCCGACACTAATATACGAGTTCGAACAGTACAATATTCGATCATTAATTACGTAAAACATTAATCGTTTTACAATTGTTTGGGAATCAGAAATCCGATACATAAACTTTGAATATTTAAATCAAATTTTCAAGGACGTTCGGGTGCGGTATCACAAGTTCACCCCCCCTTAACAGGAATTTCGTCCCCGAAATTCACAGCTCTACTCGAATAGGAAAGCATACTGCTCCCTCATCAAAGCCTCTGTTTCCCATGTCTCTTCTTCGACCCGATCGCTCTTCCAAAGTACTTTAACCATTGGGACTTCCTTGCTTCTCAATTTCTTCACCTTCCTATCGGTGACCTTGATTGGTTGCACGGCGTAGTTCAAATTCTCACGTACCTCTACAGGCGGTTTTTCCAATACGTGAGAGGGATCATGTACATACTTCTTAAACATGGATACATGAAACACATTATGTATCTTCTCTAATTCAGGAGTCAACTGTAGACGATATGCAACGGCCCCAATCCTCTCTATAATTCTGAATGGACCTATGTATCGTGGGTTAAGCTTCCCTCGGGTTTGGAATCGAATGATTCCTTTCCAAGGAGAAACTTTCAAGAATACCTCGTCATCAACCTTAAACTCTAAGGTTCTTCGTCGCTTATCCGCATAACTCTTTTGTCTATCCTGAGCCGCTTTGAGTCTCTCTCGAATCAACTTTACCTTTGACTTGGTGATCTCAACCAACTCAGTACCCTCGAGTTTGGCCATGCCGACCTCGCCCCAGCATAACGATGTACGACACCTCCTCCCATACAATGCTTCATATGGAGGCATGCCGACACTTGCATGATAACTGTTGTTATAGGCAAACTCCACGAGTGCTAAGTGGTTGTCCCAACTTCCTTGGAACTCTAACGCACAAGCCCTCAGCATATCCTCTAAGATCTGTATAACCCTTTCAGACTGCCCATCCGTTTGTGGATGGAAAGCAGTACTGAACTTCAACCTCGTTCCCATAGACTCTTGGAATTTCGGCCAAAAACATGATGTGAATCGTGGGTCTCTATCGGATACAATGGTCACTGGGACCCCATGCAGCCTCACGATCTCATCCGTATACAATTTGGCTAACCTCTCAAGTGGGTAGGTAGTGTTGATAGGCAAGAAGTGTGCACTCTTCGTGAGCCTATCTACAACGACCCAAACTGCATCATAGTTCCTGATTGTCCGTGGTAAACCCACCACGAAATCCATAGTCACGTGTTCCCACTTCCATTCAGGAATGGAAAGTGGTTGCAATAAGCCTGCTGGATGCTGATGTTCCGCCTTAACTTGTTGACAAGTAAGGCATCGACTGATGTATTCGGCTATTTCCCTCTTCATTCCGGACCACCAGTAACTTTCTTTCAAATCTCGGTACATTTTCGTGCCCCCTGGGTGCATGGCATAAGCCGATGAATGAGCCTCCTCCAAGATGGACTTACGGAGCTCCTCATCTGACGGTACACACACTCGGTCACGAAATAACAAGAGACCATCATCTCTTTCCCTGAAATCTTCCACCGGCCCCGCTTGCATGCGTTCCCGGACCTTCATAAGTTCTGCGTTAGTCTCTTGACTCTTCTTGATCTCATCAAGTAAGGTCAGTCTCACTTCGAATCGTGCCAATAAGGCACCGTCGCTAGATACATCCAATTGGGCCCTCAGTGCCCTCAAACTAGTCAACAATGCCCCAGACGAACTCTTCCGACTGAGGGCATCTGCTACAACGTTTGCCTTACCTGGATGGTACTCAATAACTAGATGGTAGTCCTTTATCAACTCCATCCACTGTCTCTGTCTCATGTTTAACTCTTTCTGAGTAAACACGTACTTCAAGCTCTTATGATCAGTATATATGTGGCATGTCTCTCCGTAGAGATAATGTCCCCAAATCTTCAGTGCAAACACTACTGCTCCCAGCTCCAGATCATGGGTAGGATAATTTACCTCATGCTTCTTCAACTGTCGTGAAGCATAGGCAATTGCCCTCCCCTCCTGCATCAACACACACCCAAACCCTTGGATGCTCGCGTCACTATAGACATCGTACCCCACACCCTGTTTGGGTAATGCAAGTACCGGTGCCTCGGTCAATCTCTTCTTCAGTTCGATGAATCCTTTCTCACATTTGTCATCCCATATAAACTTAGCTCCCTTTCGAGTAAGCTTCGTCAACGGCGACGCCAAAACAGAGAACTTTTCCACGAACTTTCTGTAGTAGCCTGCCAATCCAAGGAAACTACGAATTTCCTTGACATTCTTTGGTCTCTCCCATTCGGTAATGGCCTCTATCTTCTTATTATCAACATCAATTCCCGATCCCGAAACCACATGCCCGAGAAAGCCAATTTCCTTTAGCCAAAATTCACATTTAGAAAATTTGGCATAAAGTTGCTTCTCCCGTAGTGTCTCAAGAACGAGTACCAAGTGCTCTTCATGCTCTTCCTTACTCTTTGAGTAAATCAAAATGTCGTCTATGAACACAATCACGAATCGATCCAAGTATTTATGGAATACTCGGTTCATCAAGTCCATGAATGCTGCTGGGGCGTTTGTTAACCCAAACGACATAACAAGGAACTCAAAATGCCCATACCTTGTGCGGAAAGCACTCTTTGGTATGTCATCTTCCTTAATCTTCAATTGATGGTACCCCGACCTCAAGTCAATCTTTGAAAACACGGTTGCTCCTCGTAGTTGATCAAACAAGTCATCAATCCTAGGCAAAGGATACCTATTCTTGATTGTGACCTTGTTCAGTTGACGATAGTCAATGCACATTCGAAGTGTCCCATCTTTCTTTTTCACAAAAAGAATCGGTGCTCCCCACAGGGAGTGGCTTGGTCTAATGAAACCATTATCCAAAAGCTCTTGCAATTGGGTTTTCAACTCGTTAAGTTCAGCGGGTGCCATACGGTATGGCGGTATGGAGATTGGTTTGGTGCCGGGCTCGACCTCGATCACAAATTCAATCTCCCTATCAGGTGGAAGCCCCGGCAGGTCCTTTGGGAAGACATCCGGGTACTTACAAACCACCCTCACGTCGTCGATGTTCGTTTCCTCCTTGGTCTTGTCAACCACGTATGCTAGATAAGCGTGGCATCCCTTTCTCATCATACTTCTCGCTCTCACAGCGGATATGATACAGCTGTTTGATTTGCCTCGGTCCCCCTCGAAGCGTAGGGTATCCCCATCATTGCCTTCGAGTTCCAAGACCTTTGTGTAGCAATCTACCCTAGCATGATGCTTTTCTAGCCAATCCATCCCTAGGATTGCATCAAACTCCATCATACTCAGCGGTACGAAATCACACGTCAAGGTTTGGCCACCGATTTCCACCATACAAGATGGATAGTACTTGGTTCTTTCAACGTCTTCCCCTAGTGGTGTTGATACCACTAAAGTTTGCGTCATTGGTATTGATTGTATCTCTAAGCCCTCGGCGAACGCCTCACTTACGAATGAACGTTGCGCTCCGGTATCGATAAGGATTCGCGCATGCTTCCCATTAATCTTTAGTGTTCCTACATTTATAAGTCATGTGAGATACCTTTTCTAATGTTTTTACACATCATTAGGAGGTTATTAGGTTCATACTAATGTTTGGAATCAATCGGGGGTCCCAACGTAGAAGAACAGAGCGAAAAAATGAGTTTTCGGTTGCCGGGGGTCCACGCACGGCGTGCCTGGGTGGCACGCACGGCCGTGCGTGCACAGGAGTCTCCCTGCCAGCCAGTGCCTCCCAGGCACGGTGCCACGCACGGCGTGCCTGCGGCCGTGCCTGGCCGAATTTCCTCGAAGAGGCCACTGCCTCCTAGGCACGGTGCCACGCACGGCGTGCCTGCGGCCGTGCCTGGCCGGAATTCCTCAGAATGGCCACTGCCTTCCAGGAACGGTGCCACGTACGGCGTGCCTGCAGCCGTGCCTGGCCGGAACTCCTCAGCGAGGCCACTGCCTCCCAGGCACGGTGCCACGCACGGCGTGCCTGCGGGCGTGCCTGGCCGGCACTGGCTGTTTCCAGCCTGATTTGGCCTAACTCACCCGGTTTGGCCCCGGGGTGGCCCGCACTCAATCCCAACGACGTACATGATCAAAGTAAGCCTAAAAATGCCCAAAATAAGTGTATTACCTGCGACGGAGTCGGGATTAGCCCGAGCATCTGCCTCGGTCATTGCGTACACTCTCGCTTGAGTTCTTCCTTGGTTCACGGAGGGTGCGTTGCTTGTACTTGCCCCGCCGTGGCCCGCGCTTGCACTTGGTGCCCCACCCCGGTTTCTACTCACCGTGGTTGCACTGCTTGGTCCTGATGACCGGTTCCCACCAAGTTGAGGGCAATTGGGCTTTATGTGCCCCGTATCTCCGCATTGGTAGCACCGTGGGGGATCACGACATTTGCCCTCGTGATTTCTCTTGCAATTCCTGCACTTAGGCTTCGTCGAGGCTTGTAACCCCGAGTTTTGCCCACCCATGTTGGGATTCCCCCTTGATGGTGGTGCGGGTGCCTTGAAGGATCCTCCTCCCCCGTGATTCCCCTTCTTGTTTGAACCCTGGGGGCCATGGTTCTCCCATTTTCTTTTCTTTGCCTCCTCGGCATTTCTTCGCTTCCTCTCTTCCCACTCCTTCTCTCCCTTCAAACCTTGTTCCACCACTTGACTAAATGTCATATTAGGCAATTGTGTTGCCCTCTCACGTATGTCAAGGTCCAAGGCATCCCAGAAATGGTTCACCATCCGATTTTCATCACAAATGTACTCCGGTATGAACTCGGCAAGCTTTCTGAATTTGTGCTCAAGTTCCTTCACCGTGCATTCCCCTCCTTGGGTCAAATTCGTGTACTCCCTCCTCTTCAAGTTCACCTCGAAGTCGGAGTAGTATTGGCTAAAGAATTCTTGCCTGAAGTTCTCCCAAGTGACCGCCTCACCATACTTCCCCTTGACACCGTCCCACCATGTGGACGCCATTCCTTCTAGCAATCTTGTTGCCACTCTCATCTTCATATGGGGTGGCAGCTGCATATCAAGGGCCGCTTCATTGAATCTTTTGATCCATTCGGCTGCCACGGAGATGTCTCCCATTCCATCAAATGGTTTGCATCCCAACTCTCTCGCCTCTTTGAGGTATTTCGAGATTCTTATGATAGGAACCTCGGCACCTCTTCCTCCTCGGGACTCCTCATGTTCCCTAGAGCTAACACGGCTCCCTCTTCTCGAAGCCCCTCCCGAAGCACGCCTTGCCCGGCGCCTTTGGCGATCTTGTTGGTATTGCCGAAGCAATTCCTCAATCCGCTCGAGGGCGTCATTATCATTGCTCTCTTCGCTAACGTCATCATCCTCCCCATCATATGGGGTTTCAACCGGCTCAGTTCCCGGTCGGTAAGTCGAATCCTCCTCGGACTCATAATGCTCGTCAATCGTCTCAACATGGCCGTCACTCACGGTCAGCGAGTGGCCTGCACGGCCTTGTCTCCTGGACGCCTTCGATGCCCCCCGACTGCCACGTTGGGACCCTCCCGGTGCCTGGCCAGTCGGGTTCCGTCGAGTAACTTTCCCGGTACGTTCCATTTCTGAAAGAAATTGAGAATGAGCCATTAGACTCGTATCAATGTCAAGTGACGGATAGGCACTTAAAGACATCCTTCGGCTCAAATCACCGTCATACCAATTGTTAAGGGTACCATCTTAACAATTAGAGACTTTGCAACTCAAGTACCAAAAGTTCTATAAGTGCAAAACTTTTATGCTCATGGTTTTCAAAATCATTTTCAAAAGGGATTTTGAAGCTTTATTATGAAGTTTACGGACTAAGGCTCTGATACCAATTAAATTGTCACGCCCCGGACCTACCCGGACACGTCAACAATCCGCCGTACAGTACGAATGGTCAACCGCAGTCCAACACATTCATACTATACAAGGCGTCTGGGATATCATTCACACATAGTACATCCATTAACAAACATAATATAAAATATTCATTCAAAGCAGCGGAAACGTTTAATACAAGTGTTCAAGCCACACTTGGCGTAACATGGGCATACAAGCCATCAATAGTTATTCAAAAGATAACATCCATGAGCATTAATTTACATGAGTTTAAAACAGGAACGGAGGAAGCACGAACCACGTCTTCTTCTCCTGAATTCTCCTGGAGCAACGGCGAGGGTAGCAACCTTCAAGTTCTACCTGAAACTGTGAGGTGGCCTCCCCCGTGAAGGGGATGTCAGTACTTGGAAGCATTTGACAAGTACAATGACAACTATACTAAGTATAATCAAAGTTTCAATTTCCAAGACCCTCAATCTAGGATGTTATTATATTATAGGTCATAACACATGGTTACCCTCTTTGAAAGTATACTTACTTTATATATAAAGTCAAGTAATCGCCCGAAGGCCCATGTTTACTTTGAAAACATTTAACCCTTTCCCCGTGACTTCAAGCCACACCCATCTATATTAGTTTACCATGCTAGAGGCTTCCTCTAGTCATGTTTTGTCGTGCTAGAGGCTTACTCTAGTCACTCCACTTGGTGTTAGAGGCTTCCTCTAATCACCTTACATACGTTGTGCTGGAGGCTTCCTCCAGTCACATTACGTTACGCTAGAGGCTTCCTCTAGTCGTCCTACACGAATGCTGGAGGCTTCCTCCAGTCATTCTTCATCGTGCTAGAGGCTTCCTCTAGTCACGATACTAGTTCACTAAGCAAGTTCTATGCCTAGAGTTCCTCTATTATGAGTAGCCTTTGAGGCCTACTCCTACGGTGACTTAGCGTTTACCCATTTCTACCTTAGGACATCTCATAAGACTACTTAAGGTGTACCTCTCTCACAATCCAAGCCCTTAGGATTTGTTCTATCACTTTTCATACTAACATTTCCGACTAGTAAAATCAATACTAATCCATTTGTCTTTAAGCCACCAAGCTCTTTAATTCATAATTATAAGGCTCATTCCCATGAATTTCCCAATCTATATATGATTTAATCTCAATATCAAAAATATCACTTTTATCCATTCATGATTTCTATACATGAAGTAAAAGTATATTTCATCAAAAAATTCATGATTTATACATTCATCATATCATCATTCTTACAATGCATCTTCTATTAATAAACAACAATATTTTCATTAGGCATTATTAATAATTAATAATCCATGAAAATCACATTTAATTATCTTAGGTAATCTTATGAAATTAACCCAAGGATTATAAGCAATATAGTCGGTCATCCTCACCTCAATTGAGCTTTAAACTATCCCTTCTTGGTCCAATGGTCAAGACTTTGGTCAAGGTGGATTTGGAACTGATTCCTTGCTCAAATATGGGTGTTAAACAGCCTCTTCAAAGCGCTAGCTCAACCCCTAATGTTGGTACGAAAACAGCCCCTAGAATGGGTGTTTTCCGGTGAACACGTTTCCTAGTTTTTCCATGATTTGCTCTCGGTTAGTACATAACCTTTACATCAATAAATTAAATCTATAAGGACATATTATACACTTGGATTGGTGTACAATAGCTCCATCAATCGTTCATATCATTTGGAAAAAGAAAGGAAAGGTTTTGGGGTTAACAACTCACTTTAGAAGAGTAGATCCGTTTCTGCGAGGTTGTGTTTTGCTCGGACTATTTGGAAGCCTTCCACTACTCCTATTGATGCAAACCAGACCTTCACGGATTCCTCGTCTTAAGAGCTTTCTTTTGGTATCTCACAATCCTTAATTGGATTGGTATAGCTCGAGATATCCACCCAACAGTCTCAGCACTCTCACAGCTCGAGTTTACAGACCACCGATTTTTTGTATGATAACTCTATCCTCTCGAACAGAGACCACTCAAATATGAAAATAGACTTCAAAGGCTATCCAAGGACACCTCATTCACCTTATTTGGTCAAGTATATCTCCCATAATGAGTGGAGACAAACAGCACACCAATTTGTAGGGGCGGGCAAAAATACCGAACCGGCATGGTACCGAACTGAACCGATATGGTACCGGACCGAAAAATGAGGTTGGAAACGGATCTCATTTTTTTTGTCTCGAACCGAACCGTACCGATTCTAAACAATGCCATGACCGGTTCTCATAAAATGAGAACCGGTACCGGACCGAACCGGATCGAAGTATGATTCAATGATTTAAATTTACATTTATACCCTTACTTTGACTACTGTCTTCACACTTTCACCGTCTTTGCTAATTCATAGGAAGCCTGGAATCGGACCGATGTATGGTTTAATTATTTATATTTGTACTACTATAATTTATCTGAAATTTATTAATTATGTAAAATACTACATTCATCCCAAATTGATTTGCAAAATTAACTTTTCTTGGTCAAACAGTTTCATTTTATTCACTTAACTAGAATGTCACTTTTTAATTATATTTAATTTGGAGCTTGCAACCTTGAAGAGATTTCAATGTAGTTTCTGAATATGTTTATTTTAATTATTAAAAAATAAATCAATTATCAATCAAGAGAATTTAACTTTAACATGGTTGACAAAAAAATTATTGACTTCGCATGTCAATTTGGGATAAAATGAGTATGAAAATTGATAAATTGTGTCGATTTTTGGAGGATGAATAAACTTTAATTTCCTCTTAAACACTTGAAAAAAGTGGCATTGTTTGGTATTGGTATGACATGGTACCGTCCCGTTTCAAAATGAAACCGTACCGAATGGGTTTAGGTCTAAGACCGAACCGAACCGAACCGTTTGAATAGTAACGGTACGGGTACGGGTTCGGCCAAATATTGGACCGGACCGGACCGCGCCCACCCCTACCAATTTGTGCGAAAACTACTCATGGTGGCCCTAAGTTGATGCTAATCATGTATTGTGAAGCTTCTCTCCAAGCTGGCCGGCCAAGGTAAGTCCTCTCACCCATTTTTATTTGTCTTGCAGGTACTAATACCATGTGGAGTGGTTCCCAATTGATCCCAATCATTTTGGGATCCAAATTATCTACCAATACTTCCAAAAATGGGAAGATGGGTCCTATTGTTTTATCTTTTGTCAAAGATGTCTTTTTGTACTCATCCTAATTTATTTAGAACAAGTCAACTTCCTACATCACATTATTGATCTCCAATATGTGTAGGTTTATCACAATAATTTACTTAATGGATATTATAGAAGAAAAATCCTACTCCCATTATTTAGCTCAATAATGTTAAAGATGGGACTATAGGCATCTGTATTCTTCTCTAAACGTCCTATCACTTATTTACGATAATGTTGGGCTCTTTTATTTACTAATAAGTCCCAAATAGTATTTGTATGTCCGACACTAATATACGAGTTCGAACAGTACAATATTCGATCATTAATTACGTAAAACATTAATCGTTTTACAATTGTTTGGGAATCAGAAATCCGATACATAAACTTTGAATATTTAAATCAAATTTTCAAGGACGTTCGGGTGCGGTGTCACAACATCGGTCTAGAGCCCAGCTCATAATCGCCGATTCTTCACAATTCAATTTCTTAGGACTAGTTCCATCAATTATTCAACTAACAATTCCAACTAGTATTTCAATACTAGTCGTTTGTTCATCTCAATTTAATTTCTCCTTCGTGTGTAAATTGGCCCTAAATATCAAAATATCACTTTTATCCTTTTATGACTTCTTCTCATGAAGTAAAAGTATATTTATCACATTAGATTCATGCTTAATGCAACCATCATACCATCATATTCATAACACATAAACATACACAATTTATTCATAAATTTGTATATTGTGCATACTATACTTGTAATCAATAATAATTTCATTTAGGCATTATTAAACATTAATGATCCATGCAAATCACATTTTTATTCATGTAGGTAATCTTATGAAATTAATCCAATAATTATAAGCAATATAGTCGGTCATCCTCACCTCGAATTAGCGCTATGAAGTTCTACACCTCTTGGTTGAACTCCGGTGAAACTCCGGCGACTTTGGACGAACTCCGGCGACAACTCCGGCGACTCTTTCAACTTCGTGAAAGCTCTTGAAATACCTTATACAAGTTCCTAACAAGGATTTATAATCATAAAACCCAAATTAATACAAATAACCTCTAAAAGGTTATTTTCCGGCGAACCGGTCGTCTTGGCTTTTAAGTCCGTTCTTGGACTTAGAACCACTTTCCAACCCACTATTCCACACTCAAATCATGTAGAACAATCCTAAGGGTTCTTCATCTGATATATATCTCATATGATGCAAGAAAAATCAAGGAAAAGTTATGATAAGGTTATTACCTTAATTTTCACACTTTTAGCACTTTAACTTCTTTTCTTGGGATACTTTCTTGTTGAGCTCCCTTCAACAATGGTGAGAGGTGGCTGGAGTTCCTTGCCCTTGCTTGGTGTTGGATGGCCGAAAGATGAGGGGAGAGAGGGAGGGGATATGCTTTTGTCTCATTGATCAAATGAGTGTAAAATGGGGGTCCACCTTATGTACAATTGATGCATTTCCATTCAACCCCAACACCTCCCACCTTCTCCTTTCCATTCCAGCCGCCCACTCTCTTAATTTGCATGACCAAATTCGTGGGTTGGCCCCCACGCATGTGGGAGGTCAACCCTTTTTGTCCAGAAGTGTACAATCGGTCCCGAAAGTTGTATTTTTCGGAGTGTTTTAATTATATTTTATTTTATCAGGTCAAATAAAATATATTACTTGCTCTCGATCATAAAGACACCTTGAAATAATATATATTCCATAACTTAAATCTTGAAGTCACCGAAATTCATTTTCGGGCTGTTATCTGCCAAATTACCAATACCGGTAATTTGGATCAGTTTGACCAAACGGTCAACACTATTGCTTTTCCTTAGCCCAAATAAAATACTCACCACTTTAAAAATATTATCTCGATCAAGATGAATAAAATGTGTGATTTCGGAAATATTGGGTGGCCCCCGCTCCCGATGTGGGCCTCACGTGCAATTTACTATTCACGCGAAAGAAACAATAAAAATTTACAACCTCGTAAATTCAATAGCCATTTAATAAGGTTCAATACATTATTTACTTAAAAGTAAATATATTTGGAGACGGTGTTACATGATCTCTAATCAAAGCAATCTTCTTGATAAGTTGGGAGTCTCTTTTATGAGGTGTAAACTCCCAAACACCTCTACCGTTAAGGTAGACGACTAGACCCCATGAAAGCCCGTGTACTCTTAAATACTACCTCCGTCCCGTTGGAATGTTCCCGTTCGGTTTACGATGCTTGACTGACGATAAAGCAACTCGATTCCTGTTCACACTCCACTTATTTTTAGTAAATAAAATTTACATATTCAGAAACTACATTAAAACTGCTGCAAAGCCTGATCAAGAAAAGTTCAATTTGATAAAAATTTGATATATAAAGTAAAAGATTAGGAGTAACCTAAGTTGACCAATGAATAGTGAACGGGAACATTCCAACGGTACAGAGGGAGTACATCACATAAAACGTTTACTTGTTGAAAAAGCATATGAGTTTCCTTTACCTGCAAATCACATGCAAAGCCCGGTTAAATGAGTAAAGGGTCAGTTTGGTACTCAAAGTTGCATAAAATGGGTCAAATAAGTCCTTACTGTCCGGCCGTCGCCATTTGGATCGGTTCCCGGTGGAATTTTTTGATGACATTTTTTAGCATCTTATTCATTAAGTCTAGTTTACTCATACCAAATTTCAACTAAAGCTTCAAATTAAGTCTAGTTTACTCTAGACCAGGGACCGGTTTGGTTCTTATATGAAATTAGTGGAACCGTTACAAAACACTTAACTAATCAAATCCGTTCGGTTCCTATCTAAAATTTCAAGAACCGTTATGGAACCGAACCAATAGTAAATGGTTCGGTTCTTACTTTTATCGGTTCCTAAGCATAAATTTTTTTCCATAAAAAATTAACAAAATTTACTTTCTACATTGCAAAAACGTCGAAATTTCAAAACGCAAGCAATACGTACTTTTCGAAGCTCTTATCAGTTCAAACCTCAAGTCCAAACTTATCTTGCTCAACACTTAGGGTTGGTTTGCAACTACTTTTAAAAAAAGCATTTGTCAGCTTTTGGCTTTAAAAAAGCACTTATTTTCCCAAACACTACAACTTTTATTTTTCTCGGCTTCCGCGTCAAAAGTGCTTTTACTTTTTCTATTGCACAAAAGTACTTATTTTACCAAACACTACTCACTTTTACTTTTCAAAATCACTTTTTTCTCAAATAGTATCAACTTTTATTTAATCACTTCTCCCTATTTCATTAAAAAAACACTTTTTTAAAAGCAGAAGTTGTTGCAAACAGACCCTTAATAAATTGAAATAATTTTTGAATTTTGTTTGTAAATGAAATATGAAAATCGTTGTGGTTTGAAATCAATAAAAGTTGGGTCATCATAGTAGAATAAGACGTCTAGTTCAAGTTCCTCAAAACATTAAAAAAAAAACATTGAACACGCAAGTACAAATATAAACATCATTACATTCCAAATCCTAGGAGCATTATTTAAAATAAATCTCACAATTAAAATCATCTTGAATATTATAAAGAAAAAATATATTGAACCGACACGAATCAATTTGGTTTACTTTTATAATTAAGAAATTTCCGTGATGGAACAAAAAAATGATTTGTAAAAAACGATCTTAAATCAATTAAATTTAAATTGTTGTGTGATTAAATGTCATCAATTACATTATTATAACTACTATATCTATTGTTATTGTTAATGTACTTTCATTGAGTATTATTTTTACTATATCTATTGTTATTGTTAATGTTGTTGTTGTTGTTGTTGTTGTTGTTGTTATTATTATTATTATTATTATTATTACTAGTTATACTTTAAAATTTTTTATTTTTTAATAGCGGTTCCTTAACGGTTCCGTAGACATATTTTTAGTAGGAAACGAACTGTTAACAAAGACTAAGAACCAAACCGTTAACAATTTGTAACTCATCTGTAGAAACCGAACCAGATTTTAACGGTTCGGTTCCAACGATTTTCTGGTTCTTGATTAAAAAGTCTCACCCCTACTTCAATCGGGAAGGCATTCAAACGAATTCTTGAAGATAATTGCGCAGTTATCTTCAAGAATTCATTTGAATGCCTTCTCGATTGAAGTTTTGACTGAAATTTGGTATGAGTAAACTAAGACTTAATGTATAAGATGCTCAAAAAATTTCGTCAAAAAAATTCACTGGGAACCGTCCTAAATGGTGACGGCCAGACATAGCCTCATATACAATGACTTATTTGACCTTTTTTATGTAACTTCGAGTACCCGGTTAAATAATGTCGTGGTAAATAATTGACACCAAGGATTGTGTGCCGCGTCAGATAAGTGGAAACTAGGGCACTGGTAGGTGATTTCCCCCAAATGCATATACACTCCTCCTCCCTCATTTGCGAGACTGTAGCTAGGGATTTGTATGCGAAAATTAACACTGCCAAATGATTGATTCCGTGGCTAGCGACAAAGGTGGAAGGGTTCGAGCGTGACCGTGGAGGAGTTATTGTTCACGAATTACTTTTTTTTGGGTGTTTAGATCTGATTTTTAAAATTGTTTCTGATCTGCTCCTTTAGAGAGCGGAAACAGAAATTGGAGTGTTTGGATAAAAGTGCAAAAGTGATTATGTTGCTCTAATTTACTCCTAAAATAAGTTTTTTTGACCAACTTTTGAAAACTGATTCTGCTCCTCCTTTAAATTGAATATGAATGACGTTGCGTTATGTCTTTGCTCTGCCGCCTCTGCGTGTTGTATTGTTCGAACTCCATGTTTGAAGTTACTGTTAATTGTTGTACTCCCACGAACTCCTCACTTCTTGAGTTATCTGTATACTATGTTGGTATATTATGTTGGAGTGCTCTTCCTCTCCGGAATTTCCGGACACGAGCCTCGTCTGGCCTCCTCCATTTGGGGGCCTTCCCGGTGGTATTTTTTTGCTCAAATTTTTTGTGTATGTTCCTCATCAAGCCTAGTTCATCCATATCAAATTTCAGCAAAAAAATCAATCGGGAAGGTCGTCAAATGATTTTTGCAAGTTAACTGGTCCGGAAAATACATATTCCGGACTACAAATTTGGATAAGTGTAAAATTAGGCAGTAAAAAATTGGGAACTAACATTTACAAAAGTTAGAAATTGGGCAGTAAAAGAGAAGGATGAGTTGTCTGCACGTGTCATATGATACATCCAACCGGAATGAGGTGACAAAACATTCTGTTATTGGGTTAAAAAATACGTAGTACATCCATGTAACGTTCAATCGGGAGTATCACGTCATTTGCAGGTCACCTATACCCAAATGATTTTTTTTTTAATGAGTACGGATGTTTATGTGATGTTTTTTTTAGTACATGAGTTTAGGTGATGTTTTTTAACAAGTACATGGGCTTATCTGTCTCTTTTCCCTAATTCATTTTAGAGTTATTATGATCGTAGCATTATTATTATCATAGCATGATCAATCAATATGCATGTAGAGTCTAATTCTTTGCGAGACTTGTGATTCGACGTTTTCAGTTTTCAATTTGAACGGTTTGTTTCCATGTGTATTCGCATTGTAGCCTTGAGCTATATGATTGTAATTGTTTTTGTTATCTTTATTAATATTACGTAATAATTAAGTTATTTGTTTCCAAATAAAAAAAAAACCGTAAAAGCAATTCATAAATATGTTCCCAAATGGAGGGAATAGAATTATTGGGTTGGGAAATTATTTCCGCACTACAAATTTAGGTAAGTGTAAAATTGGGCAGTAAAAATTGGGAACTAATGATATGCACTAGTTTATAGTGCATAAGTGTATGTTTTTATATTGATCTTGTGTGGACTTTCCATCACTTTTAGTTAGTTTGTAAGTATTTGTTTTATTTTAGTTGTAATTGTTTTTACCTTCTATTTCTAGCTATAGAATAGTGATAGAGTTTTTAGCAAGCAAAAGGGAAGAAAAGCTGAAGACAAAAATGCTCAGGAACACAAACCCGACCGGGTCAGACCTTGAAACCCGGTCGGGTCAGGATCTAAGAGGAAAGAATACGACCCGGTCGGGTCCCTTACTCGACCCGGTCGGATCTGACTTGACCCGGACAATTTAACGTGCTGAAAACACATAAACGTGGGAGATAATCTGATTTTGACCGGTACCCGGTCGGGTATGTACCTATACCCGGTCAGGTACCCGGCCAAAGGTGTTGAAAAACACCTATAAATAGCACACTTTTTCTTCACAAAAAATCATCCCTTCTTCCATATACTTAAGCTCAGTTTAGAATAGCATTTCTTTATATTTATTTTAGCATGTTTAGTCTCCAAATGAGATGCTAAACTTCCAATTCTTGGTTTTGCTCTTGAAGCTTGTTGATTATTAAAGTTGTGAGTTATTTTCTTACTTTCTCCTCTTGATTATTAATTCT